ATGAGATAGAATCTTCAGATGACCTGGAAAAGCCTTCTGGGAGATTTAGAAACCGTCTACTTCATCTGTAAGAACATTTGTTTTAATTCCCGTATAAAAGTGAGATAAATTGGCTTGTAATAGCACGAGTCCAAAAATATCTCAAGTCACCACTTTATTTCCATATTGCAACATAACACAATCCAGTGCATAATTAGAAAGCTGAATTAGAGAAGAGGAGCAGTTGCTCCTGATTAGGCTGAAGGCAAAGCTCTGGCCTGCAAAAAGGGTTTCTGACTCCTGAAGGGACTTTGCAAAGCTCTGCAGCTCTGAGTGAAGTTGTTCTGTAAACTGTAAGTTCAGTTCTTCTGGCCCAGCAGCTGGAAATCTCTCCTGGGTTGGCAAAGACAGAGGCCTGATCCTGCAGTGCTTTGCTTCCCAGAGAAATCACAGTTCATGCAAAATTAGCCATTGATGTATTTTGTTCTATAAAAATTGCCCGTTATTAGATGTGTGTATTCCAGACCAGTCCAATTTTCTCTCAAGGTTTTGAAGGCAATTTTTGTGATTTGCATGAATAAAGCCAGAATCTGGAAAACATAAAAATCTAAAATTCAAATGGAAATCACTTATGTAAAAGCAGTGATAAAATCTAGGTGCTTTTGCATGTGAATGATGTCCTCGGGGTTGGGTTTTCTCCAGTGCTTGCTTCAAAGTCCCTGCATTTGCAATGCAGTGTGTGAAGTTAGAATTTGTCAAAAGTCAGAGTGTGCTTGAGAGGGAAGGAGATTTGAGCCAGGGTGACCCTTCAGGAGGGTTTGTCCTTCTGTCAGAGCAGATGTGGCTCCAAACCCTGCGGCGACTGGCCAGGGACACCAACACCACGCTGATTTCAGAAAGCCTGGATTTCCTCTGGGAACACTTCCAGTCATGGGATGGGACCTAAATCCCACCCAGTGCCACCCTGCCATGGCAGGGACACCTTCCCCTGTGCCAGGGACACCTCCCACTGCCCCAGCCCCAGTGCCCAGCCTGGCCTTGGGCACTGCCAGGGATCCAGGGGCAGCCCCAGCTGCTCTGGGCACCTGTGCCAGGGCTGCCCACCCTCACAGGGAACAATTCCTCATTCCCAGTCTCCCACCCAGCCCTGCCCTCTGGCACTGGGAGCCTTTCCTTGAGCCCTGAGTGTCCATCTCTGGGAAATGCTCTCTGCAGGTTCTTGTAGCTCCTTCAGGCCCTGCAAGGCCACAGTGGTGTCACCCCAGAGCTGGATGAGCCCTGGCCCAGTTCTCATTCATGTCAAGTTCGAGCATCTCTCACTAAATCTGCATCTTAATTTCTTAATTTAATCTCAGGATTGGGAGCTGCCAGGTTCAGCAGCCAGCTGTAAAAGGCACGCATGAGTTATTAGAGTCCCATTGTCAGTTAAATCTGATCTTTTGTACTTTAAGTCACCCATTTGCATTCATCTAAAATGCTTCCCGAGAATTTATCAGAAGAAGTGAAATAAGAAATGAAATAGTTTCACGTAAACTGCATTTTTATGTCTGACTGGTAAAACCACAAAGCAGAGATAAAACACATAAAACTGAGGCTCTGCATAATAAGCATATCTATTAGTTTCCCTTATCTTTAGGCTGCTCCCATTTGTCATGAGAAGCTTTGTGTGTCACTCATCCCTCCTTGTTCTACAAACGCTCTTTTCTCCCTCCCTTTTATCTCCCATCAGCATTGCAAGGTGGGAGCTCTGGAGGTGCTGCCAAAGTCCCCTTTGATTAAATAATCATCTCACCTTCAACCCCTTCCCAGGAGCAGTCAGCCCGAGCTCCTGAGCTGCTGCTCTGCGGGGCCGGGGCTGAGGGGAGTGCTGGACCCCCGGGTGAGGCAGCCCCAGGCAGGCCGGTCCCCTCGGGGCAGCCCTGGCACAGCAGCTGCTGCCCGTGCTGGGAACGCTGCAGGGCGCCCCTAATGACAGACAGGGCAATTAAACACGTGGGGGCCACCTCTGTGTGCGGCCGGCTGGGACAGGGACAGGGATAGGGACAGGGATAGGGACAGGGGCTGGGGGCCACCTCTGTGTGCCACCGGCTGGGACAGGGATGGGGATAGGGATGGAGATGGGGACAGGGATGGGGACAGGGGGCCACCTCTGTGTGCCACTGGCTGTGACAGGGACAGGGATGGGGACAGGGATAGGGACAGGGGCTGGGACAGGGGAAGGGATGGGGATGGGACAGAGATGGGGACAGGGACAGGGACAGGGACAGGGACAGGGACAGAGATGGGGACAGGGACAGGGACAGGGACAGGGATGGGGACAGGGGCTGGGACAGGGGAAGGGATGGGGATGGGACAGAGATGGGGACAGGAACAGGAACAGGGATGGGGACAGGGATGGGGATGGGGACAGGGACTGGGGGCCACCTCTGTGTGCCACCGGCTGGGACAGGGATGGGGACAGGGGAAGGGATGGGGACAGGGATGGGGACAGGGATGGAGATGGGGACAGGGGAAGGGGAAGGGGAAGGGATGGGGAAAGGGATGGGGACAGGGGCTGGGGGCAACCTCTGTGTGCCAGCTGCAGGGACGGGGACAGGGGAAGGGACAGGGGTGGGGACAGGGACAAGAACAATGACAGGCGCAGGGGACAGGGATGGGGACAGGGACAGGAACAAAGACAGGGGCAGGGGCAAGGGACAGGGATGGGGACAGGAACAAGGACACGGACACAGCCCAGTGTCCGGGAACATTTGCAGGAGCTGGAGGCTCTGAAGGCTCCCCTGAGGTGGCTGCAGGACACCCTGGGGACAAGGTGGGGACTTTGTGTCGTTGCCAGGGGTTCCCATCAGAAGTTCAGAGTGATGAGCGCTGGGTGGGAGGAGGAGAGCAAGGAGTGTTCTGAATAACCACCTCGGTGTGTGATGCTTCTCCCATCTCTGGATTTCCTGTCTATTTAATTTCTGAGGGGATGCTGCTGCCTCTTCAGCTCCCCCACTCTGTCTGTGCTGTCTCTGTGCCTTTTAATTGTGCTGAATCCTCTGAAGTGGTGGGAATTGTTCTGGTTTATCTGTTACGTGTGTCCTCTGAAGAGACAGTTTTTAAAAAAAGGGGGTAAAAGAGGCTTTTCTACCCTGTATATTCGCAGAGTACATTTTTAATCCCTGTGGTTTCTTTGGATAATCTCAGTACCTGTTCTCTAATTTGAAAATATTTTTTCACAACAAGCACAGCTGGGTACCACAAGCACAGGAATCGTTGTGTGCCCTCTGCAAAGTTATTTCAGAGAATTGTAAAGTATGGTAAAAACAAGAAAATCCCACCTTCCTCAATGTTTTGAAAAGTCAATAATTTCTACTAACCTGTGTTCTTATGGCTTCTGTTCTATGACTTACAGCTCAGTTAAACCCTAATTTATATCAGAATTATTTCAGTCCAAATCTGACCTGCACTCTAAATAAATGAGCCAAAGCCTGTGTTAAGGCCCCTGAAATTCCCAGTCACTGAGGCTGTTGGAGGATCAAGCAGGGAATTTGTGTGGCTGCAGGGCAGAGGTCTCAGCTCACACATCTGCATTGCAAACTGGTTAAAAATCAGTGTAAAATGGGTGTGTGTATGTGAACTGCTGCAGCCTGGCCAGGCCTGTGGTGTGGAACATGTAAACTGGTTAGAAATGACTTTACAGGGGGTATTTGTGTGTGAGGAGCTGCAGACCGACCAGGCCTGGTGGGTAATGTGTGCAGACTGGTTAAAAATTACTTTATAATGGGTATTTGTAAAATGGGTGTGTGTATGTGAACTGCTGCAGCCTGGCCAGGCCTGTGGTGTGGAACATGTAAACTGGTTAAAAATTACTTTACAGTGGGTATTTATGCTTGAACTGCTGCAGGCTGGCCCAGCCCTATGTGAAACACATGCAGACTGGTCAGAAATGACTTTACAGTGGGTATTTGTGCGTGAGGAGCTGCAGCTCCATCCTGGTGTGTAACTCATGGAAACTGGTTACAATCCCTTTCCAGAAGGTGTTTCTGTGTGTGTGAGGATCTGCAGTGCCACCCTGGTGTGTATCACGTGGAAATTGGTTCCAATCCCTTTCCAGTGGGTATTTCTGTGTGTGTGAGGCACTGCAGCCCTGCCCTGGTGTGTGACAGGTTAAATCTCTCTCTCCAGTGGGTATTTCTGTGTGTGTGAGGCACTGCAGCCCTACCCATGGTGTGTAACAGGTTAAAGCTCTCTCTCCAGTGGGTATTTCTGTGTGTGTGAGGTGCTGCAGCCCCACCTTGGTGTATAACACACCCAGACTGGTTAAAGCTCTCTCTCCAGTGGGTATTTCTGTGTGTGTGAGGTGCTGCAGCCCCACCTTGGTGTGTGACACATGGAAACTGGTTACAGTCCCTCTCCAGCAGGTATTTCTGTGTGTGTGAGGTGCCACAGCCCCATCTTGGTGTGTAATTCATGGAAACTGGTTCCAATCCCTTTCCAGGGGGTATTTCTGTGTGTGTGAGGCGCTGCAGCCCTGCCCTGGTGTGTGACACACCCAGACTCGTTACAATCCCTCTCCAGTGGGTATTTCTGTGTGTGTGAGGCACTGCAGCCCTACCCATGGTGTGTAACAGGTTAAAGCTCTCTCTCCAGTGGGTATTTCTGTGTGTGTGAGGTGCTGCAGCCCCACCTTGGTGTATAACACACCCAGACTGGTTAAAGCTCTCTCTCCAGTGGGTATTTCTGTGTGTGTGAGGCGCCGCAGCCCTGCCATGGTGTGTGACACACCCAGACTCGTTACAATCCCTTTCCAGCGGGTATTTCTGTGTGTGTGAGGCGCCGCAGCCCTGCCATGGTGTGTGACACACCCAGACTCGTTACAATCCCTCTCCAGCAGGTGTTTGTGTGTGTGTGAGGTGCTGCAGCCCTGCCACGGTGTGTGACACACCCAGACTGGTTCCAGTCCCTTTCCAGTGGGTATTTCTGTGTGTGTGAGGCGCCGCAGCCCCGTCCCCCGCGTAACCCCTCTCTGTTGTCCGCAGCTCTACATCCAAACCACCACGCTCACCATCTCCATGAACCTGAGCGCGTCGGTGGCGCTGGGGATGCTCTACATGCCCAAGGTTTACATCATCATCTTCCACCCCGAGCTCAACGTGCAGAAGCGCAAGCGCAGCTTCAAGGCGGTGGTGACGGCGGCCACCATGTCCTCGCGCCTGTCCCACAAGCCCAGCGACCGCCCCAACGGCGAGGCCAAGACCGAGCTCTGCGAGAACGTGGACCCCAACAGTGAGTAGGGGGCTCTGCAGCACCTCCCACCCCGGGCTCCACCTGCTTTGCTCCATCGCGGTTTGCAGCTCTCGTGGGGTTTTGGAATTCTCTGCTTTTGGCTCTGATTTTCGAGCCGTGTGGCGGCAGCGCCTCAGGAAGGGTTTGGGAGATGTGAGGAACTCGTGCCCCCCTGCTTTCCCTCCGAGGGTGAGGGAGCAGCACATCCCAGGGCACAGAACCCGGCAGCCCGGCAGGGACGGGTTCCCAGGCAAGCACCAAATTCATCAAGAACTCTGCTAACCCCAGTTTTCATCCTGCTCCTTGCAAAGTTGCTTTGCAAAAATCTCACGGTCCCTGAAGATTCCCATTTAGGGATTTTATCTGGTCTTAATGCAAATCTTGCCACCGATTTAAAAGGAAAATAGATGGCAAAGACACTTCTAGTTTCCTTAATGTGCATAGCAGAGGATAGCACAGCACGAAATTACAGACTGAGGCCATCAAATCTGATTTGCATTTGAATCTGGAAGGAGCTGAGGAAGGAGACAGCTGCACAGCTCCGCAGCACGCTGCAAAGGCTTGGGCACGTCTGCAGTTCTGGTGCAAAACCGGGTCTGAATGTGGAGAAACGCCCTCTCCCTGCCCCTGCTCCACTGATCCGTTAGCTGCTGGAATCCCTGCCACGTCTTGTCCTGTCAATGCTGCTGGAATTCCTGCTTCATTAATACTGCTGGAATTCCTGCCTCTAGTGCTGCTGGAATTCCTGCCTGGAGCAGCAGCTCTGCTGTCAAAGCAGAGTGGGAGCAGGCAGCAGATCCCTGACACAGCACTTTTCCTCCCCCTGCTCACCCCTGCAGGATTTCTCTCTGTCTGATCATGCAGGTGTAAAAAATCCATTCCTGCTGGAAAAACTAAATTCATCCTTGGAAGCTGGACTGGGGTTCAGAACCATGGACAGAGCCATGGTCAGAGCCATGGACAGAGCCGTGGACAGAGCCATGGACAGAGCCATGGACAGAGCCATGGACAGAGCCATGGACAGAGCCGTGGAATGGTTCTCACACATTAAGGACTGGGTGAGGCCTCTTGCAGCTGGACAGAGCCCTGAGTGCAGGAGGAAATAAATGGAATTCCTGCCCTGGGCTGTTCCCCAGGGACACTCAGGGCCCTCTCCAAGGCAAATTTCAGAAAGTGAAGGGAGGAAAAGCAAATTTGAATTCCAGCAGGGCCAGGGCAGGGGAGTGTGTTGCTGGTGCACTTCACTCATCACTGTTTGGGTCAACTAAGCTGAAATTAAAACACAAACCCCAAAATCTAAGAATTGCATGCCAAAACCTGACCAAAGAGAAACGCCCCCAAGCTGTGCTGCTGCAGTGCTCCCTGCGGGAAGCCCACCCAGGGCCCCTCCTGCTCTCATCTCATCCCCTGTGCTGCACCTTACTGCTGCTTTCAGACTGCTGAGAATATTCTCCCCTCCCACCGAAGAACAGACAGATTTTTCTTTGGGAAGGAAATATTTTTACTGGAAAGAAATAGTGCTCACCTAAGCCCCGTGTTTCTGGTCAAACACCCATTTTTAGTCCAGGGCTGTAGACCAAAAGATGTTTTTAAGAGACACAAGGGGCAGAGGCCCCTGCCTTGCCCAGATGTGCCACCTTTGCCTTGAGCCTTCACTGAGTGGGATTTAAAGCTCATAAATGTGTTTGTTAGGAAATGTGCAATCTCTGAGTTTCTGGTTCATAAGCTTTTGCTTCTTTTTTATCACTTGTGAAATAGGTATTTTTAAAAACATTTTCATTATTTATATGGAATTCCATCTGTTCATAGTCTCAGCTGCTCGTTCATTCCCCAGGTCTGTGTGCTCATAACAATTATTAGAAAATCAAGTGATATAAACTTCTGCTGTACTTAAGTTTTGGGGTGCATTAGTCCCAGTGTAACTGCTGCAGTCACTGTCCTATGGCATTGATTAGGTTATTGATCAGCCCCTGATCAGGCAGCGTTCAGGAGTGTGTATAACAGCAGTTCACCTGAACTCAGTTTCGTTCTTTAAAGTCTGAATATTCTGTTGAATAAAAGTTGCTTACAGTTCCATTTCTAGGTAGAAAAAAAATGAATATTTTATTAGTGAACTTAAAAAAAAAGTCATAACATCCAAGCAAAAGTCCTCAAACTTAATTTCAGTGAAATATTGAATATGGTGTCCATACATAAAAATGGGTTTGATGTTTTTATAGAAGTTTCAATTTAAACATATTTTATACTGTGAATAGGAAATTTTGCAGAGTTTTACCAATCAGAAAGTAGGAAATATTAATTACAAATTACCCTGGATGCATCTTGGAGCAATTTTTCTAAAAATCTCAAATATCTTCTCTCGAAAGAAAACCAAAGGATGTTTTTCCAGTATTCCTTTGCGAAATTGGCTTTGCTGTCCTCAGATGGCCCCTGGTGGCCTCTGGTGTGGGGCAGGGCCTGCCTGGCCCCCAGGCTCTGAGCAGGGGCAGGTTTGGCTGTTGGGGCTCAGGGGGCAGGGGATTCCTGCAGAGATCGAAGGCAGCAGTGCCCAGAGCGAGCTGAGGCTGGCCTGGCTCGGCTCTGGGCTCTGCAAGTACAGTGGGGGTTTGCACTTTGATTTTCTGCTCTGGCTGGCGGGGCTGCTGCTGTTGCTTGCTCAGTGCGGGTGCTGGAGGTGCCATTTGTGCTGGAAGTGTCCCATGGGTGTTCCCTCTGTCCCGAGGCAGGAGCACCAGCACAGGACCCGTGTACCTCCAAACACTGCAAACCTGGGGCTGGGCCCAGTTCAGGGCCTGTCCTGCTCACAGTCAAACCACTGGCAGAATGTGGGTGGCTTTACAGAGAAACAGCCTTGAAAAAAATCTCCAGGTTTTAGCAGATCTGTGATAGAACAGGGAGCTGGGGCTGCCCTGGATCCCTGGCAGTGCCAAGGCCAGGCTGGGCACTGGGGCTGGAGCACCTGGGACAGTGGGGGGTGTCCCTGGGGAAGGGGAAGGTGTCCCTGGGACAGTGGGAGGTGTCCCTGCCATGGCAGGGTGGCACTGGGTGGATTTAAGGTCCCTCCCAAGCCAGACCCTCTGTGGCAGTGGGCTGAGGTGTGCACGTCAGGCTGAAGCTCTGTGACCTCCCGAGTGCCTTCCCAGGAGCAGGGGATGCCCATCCCGTGGGACCACACAGCTCAGGGCAGGCTGCTGCAGCCTGGGCTCAGAGAAGGATGGGCAGAGCACTTGGAGAGGGGCTGGCAGTGAGGGCAGAGGGGGGCTCTGATTGCCATGAGAGGAGAACCCCTGGCAGAGCAGTGACCTCATGTCCCAGCGCCAGGGGAACGGGCTGGCTGTGTGAGGTGACCTGGCAATGTCCTCATGTCCCACTGCCTGGGCATGCCTGGCACAGCAGCAGGGCACAGCTGAGCAGGGCACAGCTGAGCAGGGCACAGCCGAGCTGCCCAGCCCACCTTGGGAGGGCTCTCCTGCCGAATGGGATGTGCTAAGGCCAAGCCTGTCGATCCTTTTAGGAGAACTCTGTTAGTCATGCCATCTGGCAGGTGCCTGCTGTCGCTCTGCTGGGCACGGTTGGGACCAGCAGGACGTGGGGCACAGCAGCTCCCGGCCCTCGGATGAGCTTGCTGTGCTCTTGTGTGGCTCTGCTGCAGTTTCCCACTTTGGGAAGATGTTTCTGGTGGAGCAGGGGGAGAGCCCTGCTGGGCTGTCTGCAGCTTCTGCTGCAGGAGCAGGGGCAGACTGGGAGAGAACCCCTGCCTGACTTCTGCTGAGATTTACATGAAATCCTCCCCCTTGCTGAGGAAAGCACTCACATGGCTGCTGATGGTGCCAAGGAACCCCGGGGGGCTCTGGGGCTGAGGAGGGACAGGGGTGTGAAACTGCAGCCACAACATCCCGAGCTGGTCGGGGAGAGGAAGGGAAATCTGCTGAGCCAGCCCTGCCGTGCTTGGAGGTACCTGAGCTCCCTGGCCCGGCTGCCCTGGGGCTCGTGTCCTGTGCTGGTGCCCCCCAACCCCAGAGGAGGGGCAGGGCTGGCAGGGCAGGCTGAGAGCGACCCTGGTGCCCACCTGTCCTACATTCAATGTATTTACTTTCCCTGTAGACTCTATACCACCAGTAAGAAAGAGTGTTCAAAAGTCTGTTACTTGGTACACTCTTCCACCTACTGTATAGCTTTTGCCTGCTTTCCAAAAAGGTAAGGAAAACCGAGCTTTTCTTATTTTATTCTCAAATGATGATGATGATTGTTATGACTATTTTTATTATATACACAATTATATGAGAAATGTTAGTGCAGCTGTGTTAAAAAAGATATCTAACTTAAAAATTGTTCACAAACCCGTTACCAAAAGCTGCCGTGGGGGGTTTGCCTGGGAAAGGGGAGACCCTGCCGTGGGTGCCACCAGCTCTGAGAGGTCTCCTCCTTCCCACCACAGGAGCTGGATCCCAGCAAAGCCTTTGAGGATGGAGATATTTGTTTAAAAACGAACAAACAAGTGATAAAAAGTGAATTCTGGCCCGCAGATCTGACAGCTAAGGCAGAGTCCTCCCCGGCAGCAGAGAGAGAACCTCAGCCCAGGGGTGGTCACCCCTCCCTGCTCCAGAGCTGCTCATGGCTCCAAAAGCTTTGAGAGCTGCTTTTCCAAACACCCCAGGGCAGCCCAGTGAGCACTGGCTCGGTGGAACCACGAGTGAACAATTTTTGAGGGCTGGCTTTTCCTGCGTGTTGTGGTGATCTGGTGATGTGTGAGCTCCTCTGGCATTTGTGGCTGCATCAGCCAGGAATTCCTGAATTCCTGCTCTCCAGGGGCACAGGGGGTCAGGGAGCCTTTGATAGTGGACAGGAATGATTGCCAACCATGAATAAGCATTTCTCAGGGCTCCCTGTGGCTCAGGGGGCTTTGCCCAGGTACAAAGCTTGTACCTGACCTGGTTGTGTGCTGCTGAGCACCGAGGGCTGGAAAATCACTGTATTCAGCCCTCAGAACGTTTAGCTGGGCCCTGATAGGTGAGAACCTCTATCAGCAAAGGTTGGAATGTTGCTTGAATTGAGTCTCTGAGTCACAGGAGAAGAAATTACCAATATCTCTGGCTGGTGTAAATTGCCCCAGCTCCAGCATCAATTCAGTGCTCCCGAGAGCTCAAATTGGATTTTATTGTGCTTGAATCAGGGCCATTATGCCAACTCCCAGCTCGGGCACAGGATGGGAGGCTGAAGCTCTCCCTGAACCCCGGGGTGACCCCGAGCATCCAAGGGCAGGGCTGGGCTGGGGAAATGGGACAAAGCAGCCAGGAGGACAAGGGGCCACTCAAAGCATTACTGCAAATGAAAGAGGAGAGGGAAAGGGCAGCTCTGTGAAGATGAAATTGCTCAAGGAAGGAGATGAGAAAGAAAGAGATGGAAGACACCTAAATCTCACGAGAAATTGTTTTTTAAAGAAAACTTTTTTTTTAAATGACACAAAAATAATTAGGAACTCAGATTCTAAAATTAATTTATTTCCATGTAATAATGGAAATAATATAAGGAAATGCTGTCTGCAAAGGCACACAAATAACTCTCTCATCCAAGTCCTTTAAAAAGCAACTGGCCACCCAGATTCTGTAACCATATTTTAAAATTTGGTCCAGAAAAGCTTTGAAAATGCTTTTCATCCCAAAGCAGGGGTGCTGTGGGCTTGTGCTGGTCCTGCCGTGCTCCTCTGCTCCAGGGTGTTTTCCATCTCTGCCCCAGCGTCGCTGCTCCAGCTCCTGCAGCCCTGGCTGCTGCTGTGATTTGTTCTCCCAGGAATACAAAACAACAAGCAGCATGAAACAATGCAGTGTATTAAAAACAAAGCTGGCTAGCAGGGAAACATCAGCCTGCTTGTAAATTGACACTTGTTTTGCTGGCAAGGTGTTTGTAGTAGGAGCGAACAGAGCTGCGCCTGACGTGGCTGTATCAATTTCTGCTGGTGATGAGCGGGGAGATGGCTTTGAGAGCTCGGAATTGTTTCCTGGCAGTGACAAATAGGGCCTCCCTGCTCTTGAGGCTGAGGGAAACACAGGGCTTGGAAAGCACGTGCTGGGTGTGAGGGAAGGAATGCTCCATCACTGAGCAAGGCAGCTGGGCTGCAGGAGAGCCTGCAGCACTGGGCACTGCCCACCTGGGCTGGGGCTGGGGCTGCCAGGGCCCAGGGGCACCTCCCTGCTTTCCCCTGGGGTCTGCTCTCCCCTGGGGCTCCTGTGGGTGTCCCAGGCTGGCCCCGGGCACTGCTTGGGGCAGGGAGGGCATCCCCAGCATGTCCTGCAGGGATGGGCATGGCCAGGGGCTGTGCCAGGCTGGGGGGCTGGGCATGGGCACCACGGAATGCTGATTGAGCCAGGGGTTTGGGGGTGATGGACACTGGCACCACGGAGTGCTGATCCCAGGGTTTGGGAAGGCTGGCTGGACACTGGCACCAGGCAGTGCCGATCCCAGTGGCATTGGGAGCCTGGGCACTGGCAGGGCTGGCACAGCCCGTGCAGCAGCACGGCGGGTCCCTGCCTGCCGTGGGCACAGCTGCCCTGGAGAGGAGCAGAGCAGTGCTGCATTCCTGTCAGGATCTGTCCTGGCGTGGTCCAGACTGGCCGGGGCTGCTCTCGGAAGGGGAATGGCTCAGGTGCCCCCAGTGCTCTCCTGCTCACAGCCCAGGCTGCCCAGGCCAGGAGCAGCCCAATGGCAGCACCTGGGGACAGGCAGGTGGCCCTGGGGACAATCTGCTCTTTGGAGGCTCTGGGTCCAAGCTGTGAGATGCTCTGTAGCTCATCAGCCTCAGTGTGTGCTATGGAATAATTATTTGCTGGATTGAAGTGTCATTTTTGTTTTAAATCTGGCCAGTTTCAGCCTGAGAAAATACTCCGTGTTTGACCTCACTTAAGGGATTTTCTGTTCAGTGGAGGCTGCTAAGAAATGAGAATTTGCACTCAAAATTGATAACTGAAAGGCTTTGACAGCCCTTCACTGCATCTATTTTGCTTCTGGAACGGCTGACTGGAAAACTAAACATCACCAATTCCTTCCAATGGTGATGTGCTTCTTTTAAAAGTATTGCAGGGAGGTGCAGCCTGGCCCTGGGCACTGCCAGGATCCAGGGGCAGCCCCAGCTGCTCTGGGCACCTGTGCCAGGGCTGCCCACCCTGCCAGGGAACAATTCCTCACTCCCAGTATCCCATCCATTCTGGGAGCCATTCCCTGGCTCCTGTCCCTCCATCCTTGTCCCCAGCCCCTCTCCTGGAGCCCCTTCAGGCCCTGAGGGCTCTGAGCTCTCCCTGGAGCTTCTCCTGTCCAGGTGAGCCCCCCCAGCTCCCCAGCCTGGCTGCAGAGGGGCTCCAGCCCTCAGACAGAACATTCCCTCCTGTCTGAACATCTGGGGATCATGTTACTTGCTTTTTTACATCTAAAAATAATTACTCTTGATGGTACATTCATGTAATTGCCAGCTCCCATATTAATTATCTGCAGACTGTCTCACACCTTTACTCAATACAAGATTGTAACGTGCAGGGAAGTGTCAGACTGTTTCCTTTTTTAAAAATTGAAACTCTGAGTGCACTTAAACCATCACCTTCTTGTCTGATGTGTGAATAAAAACACACTCATGGCTAGAAGTGCCTGGGATATTAAAAGGTGGATGTCTGGGAGCACACACAAGGACTAGTTCTGCCTAAGTATTCATTGTTCATTCCACATCCTCTGTCCTCCTATGTGGCCTTTTTTCCCTGGGAAATCCTGGTGAGGAGTGAGCAGACACAGCTGCACCTCACACACCAGACCCTCTCACTTTTCTGCTTAACAAACTCTCAGTAGCTCTGAGTTCTCCCTTTGATTAATTTATCACTCCTACATCCTCCGAGGGAGACTCTCAAATCTATAAATTGTAATACCAGGGACAGCCCCAGCTTTTGGCTCTCCTGTGTCCCGTGTGTTTAGAGTGCCTCCCTTTCTCCCAGGCAGGGCAAATGTCAGGGCTCAGCCGAGCTCCTGCAGGGCTCTGTCCCTCCCCTCTTGCTCCAGGGCAGGAGCTGGGAGCAGGTCAGAGCCCAGAGCCTCTCCTCCACCCCCTGAACCCCGACACCACTGCAATCCAGGCTTTGGGGGCAGCTCCCAGCTGCAGGGAGCTCCCAGCAGCAGAACCAGTGCCTGGAAGGGCCTTTTCTGTTCATAAATCTACTGAAAATTTGGCAAGTGAGTTCAAAAAGGAAATTCTAATAATGATGGGGTAAAAGGGAGAACAAACCTCAAGCGATATTGCAGCAAAAATAATTTCTCAAACACACAAATCCAGGCAGTTTTTGGTGGGCAGGATTGTGAGTATGGAGAAAGCTGCTCAGGTGTGCAAGAACAGCAAAAAATCTCAGTTCCTGCCCCATTGCGTGCCTTGGTGAAGCTGTGCAAGCCTTGGTGTGTTTGTCACCTTGTGGGGAGCAGGGCAAACCCCCGCAGCTCTGGGAAGGGAGGGAGCAGCCAGAGACAGAGCTGCAGGAGCCACTGGAGTGAGGAGCTGTGCCTGGGCTGCCACGGAGTGCCAAGGCAGTCTGTCTGTGCAGGGACTGCCCTGCTTTGGCTCTCAGGAGCAGCAGCACACCCAAGGCAGCAGGAGCTGGGGCTCTGGGGGCTCCTCTCACAGCACTGCTGTCACAGCCAGCCCCTCTGCACAGCATCACTGCGATTTGTTCCTCTGTGGGGCTTCAGGGCAGCAAACGGAAATGTGAGTTTCCATTCCCACACCCAGAGAGCTGTGGCGTTCACTAGAGGAGAGCATCCTTTGGCCTTCCAGAGAGGTTTCTGACTTTGGGCTGAGGTTCTCTGGGCTCTGACAGCAGGCAGCAAAGGCAGGGGTTCTTTTCCAGCCAGAGGAAATGAAAAAGCAAGGAAGGGAATTAGCCAAACACATGAGAATGCCCGTGAAGCATGCCATGGGGACAGGGAGGAGGGAAGGAAGGCAGCCCAGGCCGGGGGTGAGAGGTTTGGCTGAGTTCCCTCAGTGACCCAGAGCTGGGAGCAGTCTGGCCCTGCACCCACTGGGGTGCCTGTTCTTGCTGCTTGGGGGAAAAGAAACAGGAAAGATAAAGTTGCCATAGTTACACCACTTGTCACGATGCTTATCATGTCCCTGGATAAAGAGCCCTGCATTAAATCTGGCTCTTATTAATATCAGCTGTTAAACATTTCCA